TGATGTCAAATCTGAGAAATCAACATTGGTAATAATTCATATTCATAGTTACATGTCATTGTATCACATATGGAGATGTGTGTAAGCTGATGACGGCTAAAACACAACTGTTTCTGTGCCCAAACCGTCATCTTTCTCGATCCACTTTGAGCCACGTTCTTCCTCTCCACTGTCCACGCCTAACCTCCGGGAACAACTAATCTGTTCTCCATTTCTGTAATTTTCTGCTGTAAAGAATGTTGCATAGGGCCAGTGAGATGGTTTAGCTGGCTACCAAGAAAGCCTGATCTCCTGAATTTGTTCCCTGGAATCCATGTAAAGGTAGAAGGAGGGCGCCTGGCGGTGGCCCACGCCTTTGATCCCAGCACTCGGGAGGCAGAGGCAGGCAGATCTCTGTGAGTTCGAGGTTAGCCTGGTCTACAGAGCAAGCTCCAGGATAGCCAGAGCTGTTACACAGAGACAGACAAACAAACAAAGGTAGAAGGAAGGAACCGACTCTTCTGACATCACAGTCTTGCTATGGTATGTGCTCACACATAGTGTACACACATATACATCGATGCTAAAAATAAATTTAAAAAAACTATATATTTAAAAATGCTCTGCAAATGAAATACTACAATAAAGTAACCTAGTTAACTTATATTTTAAATTTTATTTTATGCTGGTGCTGGAGAGGTGGCTCAGTGGTTAAGAGCACCAGCAGTTCTTCCAAAGGAGCCCAATTAAGCAGGGTTCAATTCCCAGTACCCACATGATGATAACTCACAACTCTCTAACTCCAGTTCAGACACTCTCATACATGTAGGGAAAATATCAATGTACATAAAAAGTTAATGAAATAAAAGTTAGACAATCCACAGGCCCAGAATAGGTAACAAGGAGAGTTTATGGGGGGACACACCCAGATCTTCCCGGGAAGGGGAAATAGAAGAGATTTTTGTGAGCGGACTGAGAGCAGGTGGGGATGAGAACATGAGCAATCAGGCTGTGGGGGCAGGGAGACTCTGAGGGGGACTGCTGGGGGGGCGCATTTGGAGCAGGGTAATTTCCCAGACGTCTATGGGAGAGGACCCCAGCTTAGACTCCTAGCAACAGCTGATAAGCAGCCTGAACTGGCCTTCTCCTGTAACCAGATTGGTGCCTGGCCCAACTGTCATCAGAGAAGCATCACTCAGCAACTGATGGAAACAGATGCAGAGACCCACAACCAAACATTAGGCGGTGTTTGGGAATCCTGTGGAAGAGGAACAGGAAGAGGAGGAGGAGGAAGAGGAAGAGGAAAAGAGTGTACGAGCCAGGGGTCATGGACACCATGGGAAGGTTCACACAATCAACTTACCTGGGCTCATAGGGGCTCACAGAGACTGAACTGACAAGCAGGGAGCCTGCATGACTGACCTAGGCCCTCTGCATATAGGTGACAGTTGTGTAGCTTGGTCCTCTTGTGGGACTCCTAACAGCAGGAACAGGGGTTGTCTGTGAATCTTTTACTGGCTTTTGGGACCCTGCTCTTCAGACTGGGTCACCTTGCGCAGCCTTAACACATGGAGAGGTGCTTAGTCTTACAGCAACTTGATATGTCATGTTTTGTTGATACTCATAGGACATGGAAGAGGAGAGGACTAGGGGTGGGTGGTAGGGAGGGGAATGGGGGAGAGGGACTGGGAGAAGAGGATGTGGGAGGGGAGGCTGTGGCCAGGATGTAAAATAAATAGATGAATAAAAAAATCATTATATAAACACATTAACCTGTCAAAGCAAGAAAAAACTCTAAAAAAAGAAAAAAATTATTTTATGCCATTTGAATGTTTTTCCTACATGTATATCACATCTGTGCAGTGCCCATGGAGGCCAGAAGAGGGCAGCACATTCTCTGAACTGGAGTTACAGAGGGTTGCTAGCTGTCATGTAGGTGCTGGGACTGGATAGTGTATAAAATGCTCTTAAATTTTCATTCTATATATTTTGATTATATTCATCCCCTCTGTCCTAACTCCTTCCAGATCCTCCTCCACCTCCCTCCCTCCCCAACTGTATATTTTCTCTCTCTCTTTGTCTCTGTCTCCTCTCTCCTTGTCTCTTTCTCTGTCTCTGTCTTTGTCTGTCTGTCTCTCTGTCACTTGCTCTTTTGCTCAGTCTTTCTCTCTCATCCTCACTCTTAAACCCATGAAATCTAGTTTGTGTTGGCTGGCTACTCGTGGGTGTGTGACTTGCCCTGGAGTGTGGTCTATCTACCAGGGTCCACCTAGAGAAAACCATCCCTCTCTCAACAGTAATAAAATGCCAGTGGGGTGGGCTTCATGTCTATCTCCCTTCCTTCATGCTGGGTTTTGTGTCAGCAGAGCTTATGCAGGTCTTGGAAAACCCTATTTCCTTGAGGTCATTTACCACCTCTGGATCTTAGACTCTTCCCGAATATACCCCTGAACCTCGAGGAGAGGGGTGTGATATAGAGATCCCATTTAAGGCTGAGCATTTTGAAGTCTGTTTCTGCACATTGATCAGTTATGGGTCTCGGTGTTAAATGCTGTCTTTTGTAAGGAGAAGTGTCTTTGATGAGGTCTGAGTGATGCCCTGTTGTTGATCAAATATATTTTCTTCAACTTCATATATTCTTTCCTCCTCTCCTTGTATGTCAGGCATAAGAATGCTAGATCTTTTGACAGCATTTCACAAGTTCCAGAGTCTCTGCTCAGTTTTTCAAGTCTGTTTACCTGTTGTTCAAGCTGCATAGTGTAGCTGGAGCACCGGATTTACTTCAGCGTAGCTTCTACTGTTCTGTCTTCTAAGACAGCCCATGTTTTCTCCATATTCTCCATTGTGCTCTGGAGCCAATGCAATGGGATTTTAAACTTTGCAATATTGTATATTTTGTTTCTAAAATTTCCATTTTGTTATTCTCCTTTACATAATTGATTCCTTTGCTAAAAATTTCCACTTTTTATTCATTTTGAATCTGTTTACGATTACAGTTTGAAGCTTTTTTTTTTTATTGAGCACTTCAAAATCCTCTTAAATGTTGTTTCAACATCTGTGCCACATGGACCTTAGTGTTTGGTGAGTGGTTTTTTGGTTTTGTTTTGTTTTTTTGAGATTCTCCTGGAATGTCTTAGGGCTCAGCTCTTTCCTCCCTCTCCTTGTTCCTTTGCCTGTTTTTATCTTGTCTTGTGATTTAAATGGCATCTACTGTCAAACAAATGGTTAAAGAAAGAACACTACATTCTGACCTCTTCCCCTGCACATCCACTTCTTGTGCAATCCCCAGTTTCTCGGGCTGCAAACTCCGGACATTCTTGCTTTCTTGTCTAAATCCATCAGCAAATCCCGATCCTGCAACCTTGGACAAAAATGCACACTCTGACCACCTCTTATCACCTCATTGCAATCACCTTGATCCAAGCTTCCGTTATCTCTTGCCTGGGTTGCTCAAATCACCTCCTGATGTGTGTTTCTTCTTCCACCTTTGCCCTGTGTTGTAACTTAGTTGCGAGAGAGAGAGAGAGAGAGAGAGAGAGAGAGAGAGAGAGAGAGAGAGAGAGAGAGCAAACCCTGTTGTAGCTTTTTCTACCGGGCCCCCCCCATGCCTCCAAAGCCATGAACGGAAGAGGAACAGCACTCAAAATCTTAACTTGGCTGGACAGGGGCTGTCTCACCTGCTCCCTGTTTCCACCATAGCCTTGGTTCCCATTCCTGCCAGGCAGGCGGCCATCTGACCACCTTCCCACTTGCTCTTCTGTTACCTGAACTAGTAGCGCCCTCCCTCCAGGCACTGCCATGGCCCCCTCTCACTTCTTTCCAATTCTTTCTCCACTGTCTCCTCTCAGGATCTGCTCTTGTCACTCTCTTTTAGGTTGCAACCTTCCTGATTCCTCATTATACCTCTCGAGAGCTATTTCTTCCTCAGCACTTGCCTCCCTATATAGCAACGCAGTTCTTATTTACCTCCCCATCATTTGTCTTCACCTCCATCCCTCTTCTGATGTATATCATATGGCATGCGATAAGTACTCAGTGCACTCCTTTTATAAATAACTGACGGATGTAGTGTTCCAGTCTTTCTGTGCAGCAATTATTTTAACCTTTGTGGGCTTGGGGCCTTGAGGTTTCCCTTTAAATTTTCATTCTTTCACCCTCCGTTATATTTGGAAGCACATTTGTCTATTCCTGTGTAGGCAGATTCTAGAGGTTAACAGTAATGGACTAACAATAACAAAAATCAGAACACATTCTTAGTAAATTATTATTGAGCTTAGGAAAACTAGATAAGGTAATGATTTACTGAATCACTATTCTGTGCATTCTAGAGCTACTTAAAATTACTGCAAAAATATGTTAAATGAGATGATCAGGACAAGGAAAAATACAGACATAAAAACTAAATGGAACTGGAGGAGAGGTGTCTTAGTCAGTGTTCTACTGCTGTGAAGAGACACCATGACCACGGCAACTCTTATAAGAGAAAGCATTTGATTGGAGCTGGCTTACAGCTTCCGAGCTTCCGAGGCTTAGTCCATTATCAGCATGGCGGGGAGCTTGGCGGCACACAGGCTGGAACAGTAGCTGAGAACTACATTTTGACACTCAGCGGCTATTTCTAACCAGAGAAATCACTTATTTGTGTCCCCTGACTTCTTCTTTGGACAAATTGGAATGAAAAAAATGTCTCTTCTTACCCCTGAAGGTGGAGTGAGGATAGGAGGAAAGAGATGTGAAAACACCATGAGAGTGATGTTAAAGCCCACATTTAGCCTTGGGGTTTACTGAATCCCTATGGTGATCTGGCCACCATGGTAATGAAATTATAAATGAAAAACTGCATCTTTTTCATTCATTCATTCATTTTTTGCTTTAGTTTATTTATTTATTTATTATTTATTAGAAATGTACATTTAATTAGCTTTAAGGAATGGTCTAGACAATAGTGTTAGTATCACCTCAAATTTGTAAACTTGGTATCTACAAAGATAATTTGCAGACTTTACAGGAACTTGTCCCTTCCCTACACCTGACAGTTGCGCTCCACTGCTGCGGTCACTTCTCACTTCACTCTGTACTTGTAGAAGGAACACAGCGTGTGGGTAAATTCCAGCCCAGGGCCAGCGACAGTCCATACAGCGTGACCAGAGGTGTGAATGGGTAGAGCAGGATGACTGTGTTTTTCAAAAATGGCAGTGCACTGTATCCCAGGAGGGCTACATAGATATAATAGCCAACCGCAATCAACCATAAGGTATTTCCAACTAAATGTCCAATAAACGTATCTGTGAGGATAACATGGTTGATGAAAAAGAGCTGGGTAAAATGCAAAATGACTGGGAGCAGATAAAATGCATTCAGATGTACATCAAAGGTGTACCCCCACTCCATATCGTAGTCTCTGCTCTGGCGTTTCACTAGATACTTGTTGGAGATGAACCACACTAAAGTTGATATCAGAAGGCCAACACCCACACAATCTATGACTACAACCCACAGGAGCAGCTTGATTGTCTCAAAAAATTCCATCCCAAGCACAAAGCCAAATCCTCTGCTGGACACAAAGAGCCAGACACTTAAGAGGACCAAGAAAGCAGGGTCATCTCTGGCCCACTGATCCTTTGTTTGCTTCCAATAGTAAAGTTTCTATAAACCCTTTGTGGGGAAGTGAATAGGTAGAGCATCTGCCATGAGGCAAACTCAAAGTCCATCTGCCGAAATCGAAAAAGCCTTCTGAGGTACTTGTAGCGTTTTGCTCCAGCGGTGAGTCTTGTTACATCCCTGGAATGTAGACTCCGTTCCCTTGCATTGAGGAAGCCACTGAAGTACTCGGTAGCATCTTCCTGAAGAAGGCCCGTGCTGCCTCGCCCTGGGCCCAGGATTACCTCCCCCTTCGCCGGGCAGCCGAGCCCAGGCGCCGCTGGGGCTACTGCTCATTCGTTTATTTTCATGTGTATAAATGCGGGCATTCGTGGGCCGCAGTGGGAGTGTGGAGGTTGTTGAACAAACTGCTGGAGTTGGATCTTTCCTTCCACAGTGTGGGTCTGGGGATGGGACTCAGGTTTGGTGCTTTACCTGCTGAACCATTTCACCTACCATTGGATGAATACTTGACACTGCAAGATGGAGAACATCTTCAACATTTTTCAGGGTTTGTAGATATTTTGATTTACGTAAGTCAAATGGTTGCATATAAATTTTTGGTACAAAGTGGCAAAAATATGTGTAGGGTCATTTTAGAACTCATTGGAAATTTTGTCTCAATCGAAAGCCAAGATTTATTTAACAATTTTTATGCAACTCAAGTCAGCAACTCCAACAGCCACTTTGAAAATCAAACATTCCAACACAGGACATCTTACATGCTAAGAAATTGTTGTAGAAAAATATTAAAAGTCTTTTTTTTTATAGAGTCTTATGTAGCCCAGGCTCATTTTGAAGTTTCTGTGTAGTCAAGGATGACCTTGATTCCTATGGTGCTGCCTCCACCCCTGGAATGCTGGCACTGCAGGCATGAGTCATCATACCCAGTTTATGGAGTGCTGGGGATCAAACCCAGGTCTTTGTGTGTGCTACCAACTAAACTACATCCATGGCCCTAAAAGTCTTTGTTTTCTGTAATCCAATTATTTTTTTTGTGTGTAAGAGCAGCAATCAGTCAAAAAAAAAAAAGAAAGAAAGAAAGAAAGAAAGAAAGAAAGAAAGAAAGAAAGAAAGGAAAAAGGACACTGAAATGCATAACCTAAAATACTCCAAGTCCGAGCCCAGGTACCTTTTGGCATCACATAGCTTGATGGCATGTGCAGTGCCAAATGAGCAGGTTGTGCACTTGGAACCGAGGCCACTGTGAGAGCATGTAGTGCAACACAAGTCGGTACCTCTAGAAAGACCCCCGAGCCATTCTTTGTTGGATTTGAATTAATTAATTAAATAATTAATTTTTGTTTGTTGCACATTCAGCAACCCACTATTGCCACCGTTTTTTGTTATCCTCACATTCAGTTATGTGAGCCCACATGAAGTTGTGAGCAACGGTTTAAGAAGCTGGGAGCTTGAGATGTTTGCTCATTGTCTTTTATTCTGTCCCATGTTTCTAAAACTCACCTTGACATTTCTTGAGCGTTCTAGATATTTTGCTTTAAAACTAATATCCCAGCTGGTCCAGGGCATAATTAGCATGTGCAAGCCTCTGGGTTCAACCTCTAGCCCCACAAAATAAATATAAAAATGTTGTTGGGGGATAGCACACTTGGTGAACGAGGGAAAACTATGTGACAAATAAAAACAGTACCAGACGCCTTTGGGCTTTGCTTTACGCGGCCACATAGTCAGCCCCCCCCCCACTTCAGCCTTCACTTGCAGTGCTAATTTGAAGGTAAAGAAGTCCATGTCGGCATGACGACGGTTCAGAAGACACAGTAATGCAGTTTTTTTTGTAATGTGAACACTCTAGTGCTACCTTTTCACTATATAGACAATTTCATTGTATTATTTCTTTACAACTAACTTCAAATACTTTAATTCTTTCAGAACTTCATACAGTATATTTTGATCATATTCACCTCTCCTCCTCCTCCCCCTAACTCCTTTCTGATCCCCCTCACCTCCATACCTCCCCAACTTTGGGCTTTAAAAAAAAAGTATTAACCCACTGAGTCCAATGTGTTCTGCCCATACACTCACAGATGTGGAGTGGTCCTGGAGTTGACCTACCAGGACCTACGTCCTTAAAGAAAACTCACTGTGCCTTCCTCAGAAACCATCAATTGAGCCTAGCACCTCAGCTCGGGGTGGGGCCTTTGGAAGCCCTTCCTGCTCCAGGCTGGAATGTTGAAGGGCTTGATTATTCGGACAGCCACAGTGGCCGTGAGTTCCTGAGGGCAGTGAGCCTGGCCAGAGCACACTGCTTTTCTCTGGCCTTCCCCAACCTCTTTCTGGCTCTTATAATCTTTCTGCCCCCTTTTTCTACATGATTCCCGAGCCTTGATGTGTGTGTGTGTGTGTGTGTGTGTGTGTGTGTGTGTGTGTGTGTTATAGATGTCTCCTTTGTGTCTGAGCCTTCCACTCCCTGCTGTTTATTTTCTGCACTTGGACCAGTTGTGAGTTTCTGCATAAACACTGTCCACTGACAAAGAAATTCCCTGATGAACAGTGAGAGCTATGCTACTCTATGGGCAGAGAGATGCTTTTGTAGACAGTTAGATACTATGTCCATTTATCAGAATAAAAGTAGGAGGTTCACTATGTACTCCAGGCTGGTCTGGAACTCATGATCTTCCGGATTTAGTCTGCAAAGGAGTGGGATTACAGGAACGAATCACCACATTCTGCCCAGAATCTATATCTTTTGAGGAAACCGTTAACTTTGCTTCATTAGCACCACATTTTAATTTCTTTGCTTGGAAAGATAGACATTTCTATTCCCCCACAATTAGTTCCTCTTAAATCTGGGGACCTTAATCAAGGAATCTTAATCATAACTGCCACCACCACCACCATCATTATTTTCATCAATTAGTACTAGGTAACATTTATTGATTGCTTAACGTATTATAAATGTTCCACATTAATAATACAATTAAACATAACATACCATTTTACCATTAAGAAACCTGAGGAGTGAAACCTGGTAACTCTAAAACCAAGGGACAATAGCTAATAGATGTTTAAGGCCGGGTTGGTTTTGAGCCCACGTATTCTGACTTCAGAGCCCGCTGTCATGGCTGTTTTTCTTTTTTCAATTCAGAAAAGATGAAGCGTGTGTGTGTGTGTGTGTGTGTGTGTGTGTGTGTGTGTGTGTGTGTGTGGTATTTAAATGTTGGAGCTCTCCAAGCAGTTGGCGGTCAGTGGTGACACCAAGTGGTCATCTTTATGTATTACAGCCCCTTCATGTATTTTTTTTTTTTTTTAATAGATCCCCAATCTCAAATAATCCTACATTTCAAGCAGAGGCAGATTTGAGTTCTTGGCTTTGAGAAATAAATTTGCTTCCATTAGCCTGCCCTTTTTCATACCTTAATCAGAGAAAAAATTTTTGACAAAGTTGTCTGTATTTTGGACCTCCTACCTTTGCCAGAATAATTCCCTTAGTTATGACTGGATTTTTTTTTCTCCTTCAACTCATAGTTCTCAGGGGAAGGGGCTTTCTGATCAAGTATAGAGCTTCACACAAAGCCTATCCGGACACAACATTTCATATCTATTCCGTGGTTCCCAAGGATGCAGAACTCCGGTTCACTTCACAGTCCAGATCCACACCCAATGGTGATCCCGTGACAGTCCTACCTTGTTTTGAGCTTATCAAAACATGGCTTCTTTTGAAATTCCCCTAAAGTTCACTCTTCTCCCAAATCTTCTCATGATTCCCTCTTTTTTACTGGTGAGATGACCATGCCATGGTTTTTCCTCTGTGTGGTGTTCTTATTAAAATTAGTCAAAAGCTTGACTGTGTTGGAGTATGGGTTCATCTTTGGAGGCTTTACATGGCTCAGATACAGGTCTTATATGTCCAATTCCTTAGCTTTTCCACAGTAGGCATTCAAAATTCACTGCACATAGATGGTCTTACCCCGCACTGGACCCTGCATGGCATGATCTGCCAGGCAACATGTGCCTACTGGTGCAATAGTAGCACACTTGGGATAGGCCACCTGACCACTTTCTGATTGAATTGGAAGTCTGCACCGCAGGAGGGGATTTTATGCCTGATATTGAAACCTTGCTCATGATGCCATGTCTGGGGAGGCCATAGGTCCTTGGATAGAACCTGCTATTTTTATTTGGCTTAATGACTGTCTTCTAAATATTAGTGTTGATAGTTGTAGATCTGGGCTGCTCTCAGCCTTGGCCAGAAGAACTTCTTTTTGCAGTGGGCGGTGGTCACTACAGAGACTCATAACTGGTCCAAGGTCTAGGAAGAGACCGAGTGCTCAGCCTTAAAACGAAATGACCTAATTCTCAACTCTCACCCCTAACTAGGGCCAAGGACCATCTTAGAAGAGCAGACTGAAAAAATGTAGGAGCTAGAGGATGGAGAGGAGTGTTGTGAAGTACTGTCTTCTGTACACAAGCCGCCAAAGTTCCCACATAGACAGGAGAGATGATCCCCAGGCTCTACATCTTACTGAGACGCTGGGGATGCTGTTGGTAGCTAGTCGCTTCCATGGAGAGAGGATCACTCTTCTTTGAGGGTATGGTCTCTGGCAGATTTCTCCTGGTCTGGTGGATGGCCCCCCACTGATACTCATATGGGCAACACTAATTGGATTTATTGGGTTAATAAAAAAGAAGATACGAAATTAGGAGGGGAGGTGTTGAGAAAAATATGGGAAGTTAGAGTGGCAAATGGGAGTGTATAGGATTATAGTTTATTGTATTTATGTATGAACTTCTGAAAGGAAAAAAATAAAAAGGCCTGGTGTGGTGCCACAGGTCTACAATCACAGCACCCGGGAGGCAGAAGCAGGCAAATCTGTGATCTCAAGGCCAGTCTAGTCTACATAGAAAGTTTCAGGCTAGCCAAGGATAAAGAGTAAGGTGCTATTGCAAGAAAATTGAAAAAAAATATTGCTTACTGTATTGGATTCTGAATTTGAGTACTTGGGTTCTAGGCAGATTACTTGTGTTGATGATATGGATTCCAGTCTTAGTTCTTCCAATAAATTAATTAGCTGCACTGTATTTGTCTGGCCTGTTCAATCTTTTTAAAAATGAGAATAAGATGGGCGATGGTGGTACACGCCTTTAATCCCAGCACTCAGGAGGCGGAGGCAGGCAGATCTCTGTGAGTTCGAGGCCAGCCTGGTATAGAGAGTGACTTCCAGGACAAGCAGGAACAAC